TACTTATATCATATTTATTCATTACTAACGTAATGTTTGGAAGCTTTGGGTAGCTTGTTAGGAAGCTTTGAGTAGCTTTGGGTAATTAGATGGATACGCCCATAGAGTTCCCATCGCTCAATGACATCTTCCAGCAGTCATGGAAGACACAAAGGAGTTAGACAAACTTCAGCTCCTGATCCCCATTAACAAATGGTGATGACAGCACTTACCTAGGCCAGTATAATAATCTTAAATAATTCCCACTGTCTTGGACAGGAAATCTGTGCTTAGGCTTGTATTGAGGTCCCCCCACTCCGTAGGATGAACTGTTGACTTCTCCCCAGGATGGAACCCATAACACACCATTTCTGTCCCACCCAGGTATGGAATTCAATTATGAGAGAACATAGACCACTGTTCTATGGTGGCAAGGGTGGACAGAGAGAGCATTATACTACAGGAACCTACCTATATTGTATCGATAAAATAATTAATGTCTGTCTGGTCGAGGTTGTTCAACACCTCATTCAATTTTCCAACATGGTTACTATGGGACACATGCTCAACATGGCCGTGTCAAGATTGCCACCAATCAATTGACACTGTGCCATAGGGAACCCTGTGAACATCCTGATAATGCTGGCATTGGCTGGACCTAAAAAAATAAAAATTCCTGCTGTACAGTAAAACATTAAGCAGTGATGTCCAAAAAAAATGTAAACAAAAAATCTATCATCGTTTTGCTGTAATATACAAAGTTCTTATGACAACACCACAACAATTACACCCAGGGCTCCGGGCGGTAAGGCCCTCACCCATCCAGGGCTCAAAGCAGCAGGGCCCCTCATCCACCCAGAGAGGGAGAGAAAGAGTGAGAGTGAGTGTGTGCGAGTGTGAGTGTGAGAGAGTGTGAGTGTGAGAGAGTGTGAGAGTGTGTGTGAGAGAGAGAGAGAGAGAGAGAGAGAGAGAGAGAGAGAGAGAGAGAGAGAGAGAGAGAGAGAGAGAGAGAGAGAGAGAGAGAGAGAGAGAGAGGGGGGGGGGGGGGAGAGGAGGAGGAGGAGGAGGGAAATATCAGGGGAAAGCACCAAGCCATTACAAATATAGCACTTAGAAGGGGTCAGGATAAGGATTTGGGATGGGACAGGGAAAAGGAATGGTGCCAACCACTTGGACGGTCGGGGATTGCATGATCCCATGGTTCTAAGAGTCTGCAGTCACAATAAGCAAGGGCAGTTCCTCTAAAAATCGCCAGTTGAAGTAATGTACCCTTTTTTTCTAAGATTCTTAGTACTGTAGAGGATGATCACAGCCTTCCAGTAATTAGGGAAGCAGCCTGTGCACAAACAGTATATGATAAATTTTCAACAAATACTGCATTCTAATGTGGGTTGTGGAAGATAACAGAGTTCATAGTGCATCCCATATGGGCATTCGGTTAGTGACAAAAGGACAGCAAACATATTTGTGTGCTGGGTATATGACAGTTATATATCATGCGGTGATGACAGCACATAGGTTCATAAATGTTAAAGAAATCATTGTACAGTACAGTGATACCTTGGTTTTCGAATTTAATCCGTTCCTAGAGATATCTCGTAAACCGAAAATTCGCAACACGAAACAAAGTTTCCCCTAGGAAATAATGTAAATTGAATTAATCCGTTCCACACTCCCAAAAATATTAACTTCAAAATACATTTAATACATTAATACACACAAATATTTTGTACTATAGTATGTACAAGTTATAGCTTACCTTTATTGATGACTCTTGCTGGCATATAGAAGATAGTGAGGAGGAGGGGAGGAGGAGAGGTGTTAGTATTTAGAAGGGGGAGTCCCCTTTCATAACAGCAGTGATGGCATTTCCAGGATACTTTCTCTCTTACATTTTGTAGGCATACTACTAGGATCTGGTTGTGGCTCACTGCTTGCTTGTCTTACTAAGAATCTGTCTATAGACACTTAGTTTTTCCCTACATTTTAATACTTGTCTGTAGTGAGACATCACATTGTCTCACTATGAATGGTCTCTTGTTTTTCCTCTATTGTCATCCTCACAACTATTTTCTTACGTTGAACTTTACTACTGACTTTCTTGGTACCCATGGCATGATATATAATAAGAACTTTTATGTTCAGAAACCAAAAAAGCAAAAAAACAATGAAATTCTTCACAAAAAATTCAAGCGTGGGCGTCACTAGGCGGGTGACTGGTAAACTGAAGCACATCACGTGCTCAGTCGACCCCATACATGTATCAACAGACTATGTAAGACGAGGCAAAGCTTGTAATCCGATTAAAATTTTACAAAGAAATTGAGCTCGTAACCCGAAAAATTCGTAAAGAGGGACTTTCGTATCCCGAGATTTCACTGTATCGTAATGGCTCTGTGTGGTACAGTCTAATGGACAAAATTCAACATGAAATTTTAAAGTAAGAAATTAGAGAGGGAGAATACCTCTGATAATAACTAAATATTTTATTAAAATACTGAGCTTGAGTAAACAAAACAATATTCCATTACTGTACATTATAAACATGTTCAACAAAAATGTAGTTTAAAACAAGAGTACAATACTATATTATATATGTATGTATGTACTGTACGTATGTGTATATATACCGCATATATGTGTATACTGTTTATATATGTGTATGTATATGTGATTTTTGTTATTTTCAAATATTTCTTTCCAAATTGGTTTATTCCAATTAATATTATTACATTATATCAGGAATACGAATTACTGATATAGTTGTCAGGCTAGGAAATGTTAGGTTAGGTTATATTATTGTAACTAATAGGCCAAGTTGCCAAGCAAGCAGAGTTTTCCGGAAATCGTATAGTGGAACCTAAGTGTACAATTGCATTTTAATAAAAAATTTCTGGTGTAGGACTAAAATTTCATCGGTACATATGCCCTGGTGTACACTGTTCGCTCCAGAGTACTAACTGCTTGTTCATACTTGTCTGAGTCGTTAAGATCAGTTTACGCTTGTATCCTGTCTAATGATAAATGCACTTGAATTCTGTGAACAATTTCATCTTTTTTGTTGCTTAACGTAAAAGTTCTCATTATATATCATGCCATGGGGTCCCAAAAAAGTCAGTGGTAAAGTTCAACCTAAGAAAACAGTTGTGAGGATAATAGAAGAAAAAAATGAGATAATTCATAAATATGAAGATGGTATGGGCATGGTTGATCTGGCTAGGAAAATGTGTGTAGTATGGGAAAAACTGCAAAGTTTTGCTGAAAAGATTCACCCCCAGATAATGCTGTAGCAAGCCATTGTATTAATCTTTTTAATGACAATGTAATGTCTCACTGCAGCCAGTTGTTAAAATATAGGCAAAAGCAGGTATTTTTAGACAGATTCTTAGTGAGACAAACAACCAGGTCTTAGTAATATGCTTACAAAATGTAGGAGAGAGAGTACCTCAGTTTGAGAGTACCTCACTGCCTGATGTTATAATGGAAGGGGACTTCCCTTCCACACACTAACACCTCCCTTCCTGGTCCACTCCTCACCATCTTCCATATGCCAACAAGAATCCTCAATAAAGGTAATGAGCAGTTAAATGTTCATTTATTTTATTTATAGATTACATTCATTCTTTATTGCTTTGTGTATGAAAAAAAAATGAGTAGTATCCTGGATAAAATGTATTTTTAAGTTAATTTTTTGGGTAATGATTAATTCAATTTACATTATTTCTTACAAGAAAATTTGATTCGGTGTACGAATATTCAAATTACTTTGCATTTTTTGGGAACGGATTAAATTCATACACCGAGGTTCCACTTTATTTTTATAAAAAATTTCTTTTGATATGAAGTTTTTGTAACTACAGTACTGTATTACATTATATATGAGTTTTATTTTTTTAATTTGAGTTAAAACTAACATTGAAATTGTATCAAACCTAACCTATCCGAATATAACTAAGTCAGTAATTTATGTTCTTAATATAATATTAATTCAACTAATTAAACCAATTTGAAAACAAATATTTGAAAATAATGAAAATCACTCTGCCTGTTAGGCAAATTGGGCCTTGCATACTAGGCAAAGTTGTGCGTTCTAATTATCAGGTACGACATACATTTTACATTTATATATACCTGTACTGTACAGTATATATATTTTTTTATTATATACTGTACATACATACACCCAAATTGTATATACTGTACTTACAAAATAACTTGCGTTAACCAAAGTCAATTGTCATGAGGAGGCCAGGTATGTAAAGTACGTCAACATGGATTATGTCATGACCCTGACATAAAATAGCCTTAATATATTGTCAAGACAATCTTTTTGGGTCATCAACCGACATTTGCCAGGATTCTCATTATTCATATACCATACTGTATTGGAGTTTAAACTTACATTTTGGTAATTTCTGCCCAAGTATTATTTGTGTAAAAATATTAGTAAGGTGATCTGCCTGCTCTTCAGGCTGTACTTTGATAGCTTGTGTTTTAGAACATAGTTGGATAGTGACATTTGTGGCAACAGATTGTATGAGTTATGCAACATCAAATTATCAATAACTGCAGCTTCATCCAAGTGGAAATTAAAGTACCAGTACTGTACTGTACCTGTATTTATTCCACATTTGTGGCCCAAATACAGCATCAAAATTGATCATGTTTGATTTTACATAAGGATGAGATAAAGAATGCATTTGTGTTTAAAAGTATTAATAAGGGGGATGATGCTCAGGATTTTGTTACAGATTCTGAGGGGCTGTTTTCATAATACATACTGTAACTGTCATACTTGGCAATGTGTGCAATACCACCACAGACATCACAATGGGAGAAAGAGAGAACAAATCCACAAGGGCAGTGACGAGGGTTCGAACCTACGTCTGAGAGGATCCCAGACGCGCCTTAATTGACTGAGTTACGACATGGTAAAAGAATTGCAACTGGGAAATCAACTTGACCTACCATGGATCCTGCTGTCTCTCCGAGACACAAAAAAAGGTTTTACACAATTCCCCCCATGCACCCGAGCTCTGCCAACAAGCTATTCTACCACTTCGCCCTTACTTCATTGCACACAGAACTTTGTTAATTTGATGCATCATGCTATTGTGATTTCTGTGTGTAATGCGAGAGAGAGATTCAATGGGAGGTCATAAGGTTCAAAATTTTCATTCCGAAGTATGTAGTCAAGGTCAGCACCTACTATGTCAACGTTCTATATCATTGCTTTACGCTCGGCAACATTTTAAACAATAAAAAAATAGGCTACACTCTGTTTGGCTTCTACCCTTTGGCTAGAAGTTTCATAAGCCATTTAATTGCCCCACCCAGAAGATGAAGAGCTTCACAAGCCACACGACATGGCAATACCCTTCGGAAGGGGAAAGTGGCTTCCCTAATAAGTACAGTATTAGCTTACTAAGTATTAGCATACGCCTTTAAAATCATTTAACTTCAAGCAAATTAAGCCCTTCTGTATTAAAGACTTTATATAATGGTTTCTATTTCTTTTTCATTAACTAAGATTACCAGATTGTTTTAATGGCCCAGTCCTCTCTGTAACCTTAGTTTGATATATGTGTATCTGGAAGAACCCTTTGGAATTTTATCTTATTACTAATTATTATCAGCAAATCATTATTTATGTATTATTTATGTTTAAATGTGCATAAAGATGTGATATACCATTGGTTATAAACAAATATCCAAAATATTTTATACTAGCCAAAAAATAATAGGGCCAAATATCAAGACATTCCCATCAGTTCTGAAAAGATATAATAAAGATTTTGGAGGTTTCACTGTACTGTATTTATACAAAAAATTATAAACAATAATAAGTTGCTAATTGTGTAGTTCTAGTTGTGATATAAAAAAAAATAATATTAAATATTCAATATAAGTAAAACTGTGTGTATTCCTTCATTAACAATTTCCTATTTCCCACTTTCATGGGGTTAGAAGACAAGTAGATACAATTCCTTTCCAAAATTATTACAGGCATCTGTGTTTGGCAACATAATTTTCTTACAATGAAAAACTGCAATGTCACTAAAATTCTCTTATGAACAATAGAATCTGCTGCTGCAAGTATATTTAAGTCCATCTCAGCTTCATATTAAAATCCATTTCAGCTATTAAAATTTATCTAAGCTTCACGGTAAGGAGAGGTTTCAAGGCCCTAATACAGAACTATGAAGAAAAAGTCAAAGAAAGGCTGGAGTTGCCATATTTTTAGTTTGGCATTAAATTATACTTGAAAAAAAATAACTCAAAGCTTGAGAGATTCAATAAGAATTATAGAAATTTATCTGATCTATTCAACCCTAAATTATTTCTTTTGTAATTGTAGGTTATGGAAAAGTGAGATTAAAAGCTGAGCTTGAAGAGTATTGATTGATGTTAAAGTATGATAGAGTAGACAAAATAATGCACTGCATAACATTTATCATGAAATTCCTAAACTTGATGATAAAAATTAATCACAAACGTTAACCTAACAAATCCTTCAGCAGACAACAGAATAAAGCTTACTCTCAAAGCATTTACTGCAGTTGTCACAAAAATGTAGCACATGTCAAATGTACTAAATGTCACAAAAATGTAACAAAGAAGTAAAGCTCAAGTTGTACAAGATAATTCATACATGAACCAACATACTAGAATTATATATTCCCTGTAATTTTCAACCTGTAATGTTATAATTTAGAAATGAATAACAGCCAATGAAAAAAAAATTGACTATATACATACCATACATACATATTAATATAAAATACTACAATATCCAGACCAAAATGACACAAAAACATCACTTGAATTCCAAGTCATTCATGATGGCTGAACTCATTTTTACACTTTTGAATGTAGTGTGAAAATAGTGTTGTCTTGTAATCAAATAATTTGCATTTACTGTAAATCTTTTGATTTGGCATTTGAACTTTACTATCATTACTGAATTACATTGTAACCATTCCCCAGCCTATTATTATTATTATTATTATTTCAAGTCGTTGCCTCAGAAGTTATTGCAACTGGAGGTCTACTGGTCCCCTTATGAATAAGAAACTCAAGATGAGCTAAAACTCTAAACATTTCTTGAGCACCTTCTTGGTATTGAATATGTTGTCGAAGAGTGCCAAGACTAGCATCTACCTCTGCCATAGCTGGACCATCTTCAATCTCTTCACCAGTTTCTGTATCACCACTCTCAACTGATTCCCCTTTATCCTTACTTCCACCTTTCCCTTTCTCAACCTCAACATCCTCATCTTCACTGTCTGAAGACTCTAAATCAGCACCCGTAACAGCAGCAATAATGTCATCGTCATCCATTAGGTGGCAAATTTGTACATCATCATCAAACATAACATATTCATCAAACGTAATCGCATCTGGAATTTTAAAACCTTTAGATTTTAGTTTATGAATCAGTTCCAAATTTTCAGTTCCTAGATTTGTTTCTGGCATGAGATTCATTCCCCACAATGCATATTTTCCTATTCCAGATCTTTGGAAACTGTTGTTTATTGTAATATCAGTAACAGCATGCCAAGCTGCAGCAAGTAAGTGAAGACATGCCAACAAATTTAATTGCATTTGTGATTGCTTGGTTTTTTTCTTTTTTTTTGCACACTCTTCTTTCATATAATTTAGCAGTGTCTCTAAAACAGCTCTTCTATAGTTTCTCTTTAACGAATGAGAAATGCCAAGTTTACATGGACCAATAAAAGTCTGTGGACTACTAAGTACTCTAACAGCATTTAGCTTTGGTGCCTTGGGGTGAATAGGACGATTTGGTAATACAAGTAAAACTTTCCTATTCTGCTGCACAAACCATGAGTCTAGATCATGAAGCCATGCAGTAAAGCTTTCAGTAGTCATCCAGGATTTAGAGTTTGCTAAATATTGAACAGGGAGACTTTTTACATTTTTAAAACATTTTGGCTTTGGATGCTTTCCAATTACTAATAGTGGGAACTTTTCTGTCCCTGTCATATTAGTACACATAAGAACTGTTACTCTATGCTTACTTTTACTCCCACCAGCACATCTATCACCTTTATAAATGGAAGTTTTATTAGGAAGGATACGGTAAAGAAGTCCTATTTCATCCGCATGGAAAACGTCATTAGCTTCAAATTCCATTAGGGCACTAGGCAAAACTTGACCAGTAAAGTCCCCTTTTAAATCTTCTGAATCTTCTTGATTATCCTTATCTTTGTTAGGTTTTCCTCGACCAAGGACAATATTCTTTCTGTGTTTAAATCTATCGAGCCATCCATGAGTAGCTTTAAATTCTTTGTAGCCTAACTTTACAGCAAAATCCTTGGCTTTCTGACAAAGTATAGGACCAGTAATTGTTATATGCATTTGCAATGCTTGTTTATACCATACATACAAAGCCTCTTCCACATCTTCCCTTTGTGCTCCCCGTAATCTTTTACTGTCTGGATGAAACTTTCCATTTTTCCATACACCAAGAAATTTTTCAGCATGTTTCATAATGAAACTAAGAGTAGACCTCCCAACATTATATTCCATAGCCAAATCAACTTGTTTTTCTCCTGATTGTATTCGACGTATAATTTCCACTTTTGTCTCTAATGATAGAGCACCACGTTTCTCACCTGTATGTGCAATGAGATGTCTTCTAAATTGGTATTTTCGAAGGAATCTTACATCACACACACTGCATACATAGTATTTTCTACCATCTATAAGAACAGGCTCTGGAATTTCAGTAATATTAATTTTTGCTTCGCCTTCTACACTTGTACCTTCACCTAACACTTCAACATCAGTATTAAGTTTTTCTTTTTTTTCTTTGGATTCTCCCTCTGATTTTCTCTCTTTCTTTTTCTTTTTTTCCTGAGGTGGGGTAGGTACATTTCCTGAGGAATATAATGCCAAACCATCCTGGACAAAATGCATTACAGCATGAGTAACTGAACTGGTGGTTCCTGTTGATGGTATCAAAGATGGCTGAGTCAGTGCAATTCCACTATTAACACTAACAGGCTTTGTATCAGTATACTGAATGCCTTCTGGAACAGCAGAATTACTACTGGATGCAGTAACAGTTGTATACTGTTGTGACCTATTGCTCACGTGGCTAAAGTTAGATCGGTCCACAGCATATTGTGAATTCCTTGAAGATGTATGAGCATGAGAAGGGGTTATGATGTGTTGATGCTGTGTTGTTGCAGGGTGAGGAGCTCGAGATTGCTCATATACAGTCCGAGGTTGATATTCACTAAGCCTTGCTACTGCGTACTGCTGTGCTCGAGAAAGGTCGTATGGATCTGGATATTGTGGCACTACTGTAGGAGCCAAGGTACTTGGAGGCACAGCACTTGACAAGTGATGAGCAGGCACAGGAAGAGAGTCTGAAGAGTAGCCCATTGTGGCTGCAGCTGCTGCTAACCTTTCCAGATCAGCACAAGCAGCTGTTGTCAAACGCTGCATGTCATCCATGGTGATGTACCTGCAATGAAATAAAAATTTTGTAGTTAAATTACAAGACTTAAATTTTGAACACTTAACAAGAATTTAAATATTTTAGTTTCATATACTGTACTAGCATGCAAAATTATTCACTAATAACATGCAATGTAATATTACTAATATTAATTGACTAGACCTAATACTAATAACAATTTTAGTTTACCATAATCTACACAATTAAAACCCACAATATAAAATATTCTGTAAAAAGGTTGTCATCAAGGAACAAAGTCAGAAGGGTTAAATGAAAAAAAATACTAAAGTTGAATATTTCTTTATTAGCTTCAATACAATGGCTGGATACAGCAGCAGCACTGTTGATTGAAGACTAAGTATTCCTCACCAGTAGCGCTAATGTCCGCTTCGTACTGGAAAGAGAAAGATGATATGAGAAGAAATATGGATAGACGACAGTATAACAGACACCAAAACAATTTCAACTCAGAATAGATAACATAGGCATCTTGAATTTTAGTAACAGTACATGTACAATTAGCAGTCTTAATTTTTTAGAGAAAGAAAGGTTGTTACAAAAGGCTACAAAATTGTACCAGTGCCATTCTTCATATACTCAAGATGCTCATATGCATGATCTGAGTTCAAAAAATTTTCATGATTTCTGCAATACTGCCGCAAGCCTTCTGATCATCTATTATAGACCCAACTGACTTTGTTCCAAGTGATACCCCTAGCACTCTTTTTCACTAACCTGGTCTTCGACACGGGCAACTGCTTGTCATCATCGCCCTAGAACAAAAGCATTATTACAGTAATACAAAACTTATTAAATGTGATGATAAAATATCTAGATTAAGCAAGGATTGTTTCATTCAAATGTTACATTATGAAACTACATTTTAACATGAAAAATAGCTAATTTCTTAGATATTAACATGACTCATTCATTATTACACTGTATTAAGTGAAATGGTTTACTGTACACTGAAACTCAACAGAAACCAAATACATACTGTATAACAACATTGCTTAACCCTTTTGTTGCAATAAGCATTAGCAGCCAAAGCCATAAAAATGGTCCTATGCTATAATATGTGACTTCCATCCATGATACCTAGAAAAATACTTCCAAATCATGTAATGTTCAACCAGGTCCTTTGACTTATAAAGCAGGCACTTGGATATGACTGTCACTTGTTGGTGACAATTTAATGCTACCACAAGCAATTGTACCCAAGGCACCATATGTGTTTCCTTCACACCTCGTACTATTTTTTTTTTTTTTTAAATAATGCTATGGTATGTTCTTTTTATATGTTGTAAAATGTAATGTCCATGGTAGACAAATTATGTATATAATATACAGTATGTATAGATATATTTGTTTATTTATTATTTTATTTAAGCGTATTGTAGTCAATTTACTAGCTTGAAAACAATCTTTTTATGTAAATATTTTCTTCTGGAGTCCTATAATGATATATGTTCAATATGATAAGCATTTTATATTCATGATGGCAATATATCTAAAAAGTAAAGAAACATGTTAGATAAAAGAAAAAACACACACAAATCATAGTAGTGAAACAAGAGGGGAAGAATTAATACATAGAATTTCTTGGTATGCATGTTTGTGTGTTGTATTTATGACAGTACAGTGTAGCATACTGTACAATTGGAACATGCATGGCCTTATATAGAGGTACACTGTACTCAAATTATTTTTGCATCTTATAGAAAGGCAATAAAATTCATTTTTATTCTGTATCCTAAAAATATTGTTAATGATTTTTGGTGATATATACTATACAGTACTGTACGTCACATTATAGTTCCCCGCAGTCTGAGTCAGGAAGTGTGTTAGGCTTATTGAGGTCCACTGAGGCCAATTATTGATGTTTCCCAAGATGACACACTCAACAGTTGCATAACTCTGTGGTACCTATTTACTAAGTGAACAGAGCCATCAGGTGAAAGGAAACATTGCCCAAATGCTTCTGTCTTGCTGCAGGAATTGAATCAGGGACATTTCAGCTATGACCCAAATTATGAATGTATAACTATGTCCTGGATATATACATACCCCTGGTTTTGTGTTGCTCTGACCAGATTTTCTTATGCAAAAATTGGGGGCTTGAAATTAGATATTTTAGGGGTTTTATTTTTGCCTACCTCAAAGTCTTCTAGTTTTTTATTTTGTTAATGCTGTAACTGGAAAGTTCTGTTATTTTTTCTTTAGAAATATACAAGTTTAATTTTTTTTTTTTTGGGTAAGCCGCATTTCATTCCTTGGAGTGAACATGGTTGAAAACATTAGGTCGCAACAAAAGGGCTAAACAAGTTAGTATCATCTAGTTTTAATTTTATAAATTTTTAATGTACAAGGTACTGTACATAGTCTTAAAAAAAATACTGAATCAGAAGTTACTTACCATTTAATTTTGTAGTGAAGTGCATTATGTGACTTCAGTCTTGTATGGGGTTCTCTTTCATTTCTTCATTATTCAGAGATCTTCATTACTACCTCAGTATGGCTGATCCAGTTGTACAGTATTTATAAAAAATACACAATCTAACAAATCAGTTTTTTGCACATTAACATTCAACACTGAAAAAGTATAGAACTGTATGGTGTTTGGAATTACCCAGGGAGATGCCCAAAGAGACACTACATTAATCATCCGTATCTACTCCAATAATCGTGATATTAGCTACACTTCATATTACAATAATTTTGTCTCATTTCATTTTTGCCCCATCTACACTGTTACCCCTGGTAGTAAACATAGTTTTCCAGTGTTTTTGCCTTTTGCTGTTTTCCTCCCCTCTATTTCTTTGTATATACAGCATATGATTACTATGAGTTTCACATTACCTGGTTGATACCTGGCTGATGGGGTTCTGTGAGTTGTTCTACTCCCCAAGCCCGGCCCGAGGTCAGGCTTGACTTGTGAGAGTTTGGTCCACCAAGCTGTTGCTTGGAGCGACCCGCAGGCCCACATACCCACCACAGCCTGGTTGGTCCGACACTCCTTGAAGAAAACAGTCTAGTTTTCTCTTGAAGATGTCCATGGTTGTTCAGGCAATATTTTTGATAGTTGCTGGTAGGACGTTGAACAACCATGGACCTCTGATGTTTATACAGTGTTCTCTGATTGTGCCTATGGCATCCCTGCTCTTTACTGGTTCTATTTTGCATTTTCTTCCATATCGTTCACTCCAGTACGTTGTTATTTTACTGTGTAGATTTGGGACCTGGCCCTCCAATATTTTCCATGTGTATATTATTTGGTATCTCTCTCATCTCCTTTCTAGTGAGTACATTTGGAGAGCTTTGAGACGATCCGAATAATTTAGGTGCTTAATCTCGTCTATGCGTGCCGTATATGTTCTCTGTATTCCCTCTATTTCAGCAATGTCTCCTGCTCTGAAGGGGGAAGTGAGTACTGAGCAGTACTCAAGACGAGACAACACAAGTGATTTGAAGAGTACAACCATTGTGATGGGATCTCTGGATTTGAAGGTTCTCATAATCCATCCTATCATTTTTTTGGCTGATGCAATATTTGCTTGGTTATGCTCCCAAAACGTTAGGTTTTGCACTTTTGCAGATTACGACCCTCAAAGGACTCCTAAATGGCCAGAATGGGAAGAAGATGGACCAGGGAAAAAGAGGCAAAGGTACAACCACCTTCCTCAGCCCATTGTAAATGTGTATCATTTGAAACAAGATCAAGATCAAGACTAACACAACATACACTAGAATAACATGACGTGCACCACTTCCAATGGGAAGACACCTCCTCCAAACCAGACACAGCACTTCAGCTCTTCAGGTCCTTAAAAACCCAATATGCAAAATAGATACTAGGAATGGTGTAACATCCATTGTAAATAACATTATTATTGCAAAGAGCAAGAGTTTCAGTCTCATTTGTATTTATCAGACACAGCACTTCAGCTCTTCAGGCCCTTGAAAACCCAACATGGAAAATAGATACTAGGAATGTTGTAACTTACATTATAAATAACATTATTGCAAAGAGCAAGAGTTTCAGTCTCATTTGTATGGATACCATCTCACATATGTGTTGTCCAGCATGATGACACAGACAAGGCAGCTAAAACTGCATTGTGATAAGCCTGAAATTGAGTTGGATATGAGTATTCCAATCTCTGCTGAAATAGCTGCAATATTTCAGGAAATTAGGGAAGACAGAAGAGCAGTTACTGTCATTCAAAGGCCAGAAAGCACGAGTATAAAAAGCTATGGCATGTTTAGAACTGAGAATTATATGTACGGGCAGCACAAAACATCCACTAGACAGTGACTGAGGTACTTTGAGTTCTGTAATTACACTCTTCATACACTCAGGAATGTTGGAAGATATTCTTGTGCTGTACACAGATTTTGCGAGTGGAGCTAAAAGATCAGCCTTACATTTTATGCTCTCTCCTGATTCCATGTATGACTGGTTGTCCTGTGAGGTGGGGACGTTGGATGAGCTTATAGCTGGTTTTTTTTTTATCTACGCTGTAGTCTTTCATACAGAATAAGGTAGCAGCATATTATTGCTGTGTTGTTAAGCTTGTTAAGAAAAAAATATTTGAGAAGAATTTTATAGAACCTGGTAAAAAATAATTATAATATTGCCATGATTCAGTGCTTTTATGAAGATCATGCAGAAATTGTTTAGTTAAATTTAATTAATTTTTTTGTATCGAGGTAGGTATTTTCTCTCCTGATTCCATGTATGACTAACCATCCTGTCTCCTGACAGATGGGAATATTAGATGAATGTATAGCTAGTTTTTTATCTACACTGTGCAATCTTTCATATAGAATAGGGTAGCAGCACATTGCTGTGTACAGTATACCTAAGGTTGTTAATAAAAGAAGCACCTCACCTACACCAGCATGACAGCCAACCGCCACTCCACAAGCCTCCTGCTGCAGAATAAAAACTCAACATCACCAATAAACAAGTTCCACTTGAAGATCAATACATATGCCAACCCATGGTGGATGGGTCACCAAACTTTGTAGCCTCCTCATTCCCATCCCACATCCTCTTCAAGAATTTCAACTCTTCATCCTTCTTCCCCCCCCCCCCCAACTTTTCCAAGCTCTTTGGATATGGAAGTCCAAAAATTACCATTCAAAAAATAATGCACCATACTTCAGAAGCCAAAATGTTTTATGTGAAGGAAAATAAGGTCATCTGCAGATCACTAATTTCTATCTACTTCTCTGCCTCCGATGATGTTGAGAACTTCAATGACATATACTGTATACATTACATAGCTACTAATTAGTGTAACAGGAAGTATCCAAGAGAGCCAATACATCAGTACATTTTTAATTGCAACAATAAAAATGCTATAGCCCTATAAACAAAATTGATCTAACCATTTAGTAAAGTGCACTAATCTCAGCTCAACTTGCCAATAGCAAGTCACACTAGAGGAAATACAGTAGTCATGTAGGGGAGGTTTCTTAAAGAAAAATTGACTTTCCTTTAGGTCACTGGAGAATGCACTCCTTCTCTTCCCTCTCACCATGTAAAAGCTATTTTTCAAAAAGGCTTCTCCTTCTCTCCATGTAAAAGCAATGTTTCAAAACATTTCTACTGATTCCATAATGTTATGGTCTATGCCAGTCATCCTTAACATCACCTTTTTTGTATTATTTTTTTATTTTACTTGAACATTCTCATTTTGTTAGCTTACTTATCTTTTAGTATCAAGTGTTTACCCCCCCTCAAATCTTTAAACTTTTTTCTATATTATTTTAAGTTTTGCCCAAAATGCTTTGCAATAGTGGCTTCATTAGTATGTGTAACTCCTGTCCCTACAATTGTACATTACTCTTATGTTCTTTGTACACATTTTTTTTAATAAAAATTATTATTATAAAAGGCTTCTATGTTCAAAGCTGTATTCAGAATTCACTAAAATAATAATTCCCATTGTTTATGGATAACACTTAAGGTTATGAAGGTCCCCTCTGGTCAACTACTAACCTTAACCAGGATTCAACCCATAATTGCCTAACTCCCAGATACAGTACCTGTTGTACTGTTAGGTGAACAGAAGCAGCAGGTGAAAGGAAACATGCCCATCCATTTCTGTCCTACCCAGTAATTGAACCCGTGACCCCAGTTGCAATTCTAGGATGTAGTTTGGGTGTTGGGCTCGTGGCCAGCACTGGAACCTTTCAGCTACTCAGCACTTCACAACCAACTGTGGCAATGCCAACTGTCACCACCAATTTCCTTCAAGATACTTTTTATTAAGAAATGAGAAATTTTAATGTCATATTCACTGGCTGTATAGAAAAATGGTGTAATCAACCCTTCTTAAATATGAAATAAATTCAAAATATAATGAAATAAGGTTACTCAGACTACCATTTGGCTTTTAGTATGAAAATTCTTTTCCAGGTAAGAATTTGGATATGTTAAAACCATGTACTTTTATGCTCTCAATATAAGTAGGAAGCTTTCTTTGCTAAGGAAAAACTTGAAAGCTAACTCTTTCAACTTAGGAAACATTACACAACTTAAATAGCATATTGAAAAAAAATTAATTCAATATATTTATTTGTAAAGAATACAAAAAATACAATCACAGAGTTGACATACAAGTACAGCATATGGAAGAACATACTATGGAAGAGGCCCTTAGTACTCAGCAGTTATGCCAAGTTTTAAAACTAAACACAATTGATGGACATTGATTACATAAATTTATAATTTGTTTACATAACAAAGCTTAAATGATTTCATTATAAAATCAATTGTAAGTATTAAGGTAACCGTACATAACTTAATTTTACATGTTGATTAGTTTTGTTAAAATACAAAACCCTACTATACATATACAGTAGCATTTGGCAGTGATAGACATCACTCTGGTTAACAACATAATATACATTAAGTACTTCTTTATCCTTTAGAGCCTACAAGTATAGCTAGTCTATATAAATGACATCTCTTGTGTAAGGCAATGTGTGCCTGAGGGAGGTCAGCTGACTACCTCCACCTGTGCAGGTAACCCAGCCTTGCCCGGGCCACACATGCCCTGTCACCCTGTGACACGGGTGCAAAGTGGCAATAAAGGTGTGTGTAAGGTAAGGCTCGGGTGCAAGAGTCGCGGCTCGGGCAGCCCTCATGCAGGAGTGGCAGCTCGGGGAGCAGCAGCTCAGGCAGTCCTAGTACAGGAGTAACAGCTCGGGGGGGGGGGGGAAGAAGGCCCTGGTGCAGGAGTGGCTCGGGGAGCAGCCCTGATACTGGAGTAGCAGCTCGGGGAGCAGCCCTGATACTGGAGTAGCAGCTCGGGGAGCAGCCCTGATACTGGAGTAGCAGCTCGGGGAGCAGCCCTGATACTGGAGTAGCAGCTCGGGGAGCAGCCCTGATACTGGAGTAGCAGCTCGGGGAGCAGCCCCTGTGCAGGAGCAGCAGCAGCAGCAGCTCGGGGAGCAGCCCCCGTGCAGGAGCAGCAGCAGCAGCAGCAGCTCGGGGAGCAGCCCCCGTGCAGGAGGAGCAGCAGCAGCAGCAGCTCGGGGAGCAGCCCCCGTGCAGGAGCAGCAGCAGCAGCAGCTCGGGGAGCAGCCCCCGTGCAGGAGCAGCAGCAGCAGCAGCTCGGGGAGCAGCCCCCGTGCAGGAGGAGCAGCAGCAGCAGCAGCTCGGGGAGCAGCCCCCGTGCAGGAGCAGCAGCAGCAGCAGCAGCTCGGGGAGCAGCCCCCGTGCAGGAGGAGCACCGCCTCAACCATCCAACAGGTTGCCCGCCAGGTAACCCTCCTCCTCCTCCTCCTCCTCCATCCTCCTCCCGCTAACAACCCCGTTAATTAACCCTCCTCCTCCCCTCCAGCCCGGCGCTACCAGCGCTCCGTGCCCATCAACGCCTCGCCGACCAACGCCACCTTGGTGCGAGTCGAGGCAATTGGCGGAGAGTTGTGAGAGTGAGGTGTTGAGGGCATGGCGGTCAATATCGAGCCGACGCCGATGTCCTTGTATCGAAGCGCGGCAAGCTCCGATCACTCCCGTTTTAGTGCACCTTCCACCACTATCTCCTTCCACACGCGCCTAATACACCTGACATCACCGCCGAGAGCTAGTCAGGTATTTAATGATTTATTCTAATACCGGGATGCAGGAAGGCGTGGAGCGTGGGTAATGCCTTGGGAACACAGACAGAATGCAAGCGAGGTTGTTGCGACGCATCCAATAACGACCTCTTCAGCCATTCTTTTGTTCGACCGCTACTTTGAAATTATAGGAGTTTCGTGAGGAAATTACTCCCGTTTTCGTTATCTATGTCCCTTATTCTTCCTAAATCAACGTGCAATTCAACAAATTAACGACAAGCAACACTTCTTACCTGATAATTCGCTATAAGACGGAATTCAGGCGTCCATGTTTACGTGGTGGCGGCGCGCGGCTGGGTTAAGCGTGCGCATGCGCCGCCCCCCACCGTCGCCACACCCGGCTGGCGTCCAACCTCTCATCTCATAGACTTACCCTTGCTCATATTGCTATAATACGTCTCTTCCTCATTAGTCGTCAATGCTATCAAGGAGACTATCACTCCTATTTAATGTATTTTACATTGTATTGAATATATTCCTTCATATTAGTGCATTATTATAGGTGTAGATGTGTTACAATGGTAACACTGCATTTATCAATTTCGTCCATCCTGATTTTTATACATAAATATATATATACAAGAGTTTTTACATTCTTGTAAAGTCACTAGCTCGCATAGCATTTCGGGCAGGTCCTTAATCCTAATTATTTGTAGTAAATTAAATGCTCGGCGGGACGATAGTATTGTAAAACTATGAATCCCCCGAATGAATTTAGAATGAAACATTGAAGAGCTGAAATTAATTACAAATTAAGAGAGCTTAAACTATAGCTACAATATTCGTGTGTGTTGAAATGCAACCTTGAATGATTGGGTATTGCTAAACAACTGTCCTCTAACTGCAATGCTAAGTAAGCAGTTCATTGTTTTACTGCATATTTGTATTGCGTTAACGTTCACCTGTGATAAAAGTAACCATGCAATACTAACCATGATTTCGACTACTGTGTATTCATATATATATATATATATATATATATATATATATATATATATATATATATATATATATATATATATATATATATATATATATATATATATATATATATATATATATATATATATATATATATATAGCAAAGGCCTTCCGATAGATATGTAGTGTACATGGATATATATATATATATATATATATATATATATATATATATATATATATATATATATATATATATATATATATATATATATATATATATATATGTATCCAAAGTCTTAAAGGAATTGGCAGAAGAACTAGCTACACCTACCGCTGAAACTACTTTTTACAAAATCTCTGAACCAATGGGTAGTCTCACTAAATTGGAACTATGCAAATGTCACCCCTATTTCAAGAAAAAGGCAGAAAGAGCTCAAGATAAAACTACCGGCCGATCTTCTTGACATCACACATCTGGTGCAGGCTCGTGGAGAGAATCCTCAGGGAGGGAATCATTCATCATCTTTCACTAAACAATCTCGTACAATCAACACAACATGAATGTGTTAAAAACAGTTCCTGCCTTACACACTTGCTCACATTTTTGTGAGGAGCAAAGGCCTTCCGATAGATATGTAGTGTACATGGATTTTGCTAAAGCTTTTGATAAGGTACCACATCAAAGACTAGCAAGGAAATTTCAGGCCCATGGAACAAATGGTAAAATATTAGAATGGATAAGACAATGGTTGAAGGAAAGAAAGCAAAGGGTCGTGCTAAATGGAAACGAATCTGAATGGAGAAATGCGACACGTGAGGTGCCACTAGGGTCCATTTTGGGACCTAACCTTTTTGTCTTATTGATGTATCATTGATGTATATCAATGACATAGATAGTAGTAGGCATCCATCAGTCATAGGAGACTACGGAGTTGTGCTCTGGTTGTCGGTCTGGAGTGGTCTCTCCAGGGCGCAAAGTCAGGGTAGGTTGATATGGAGGAGAAGCTGTCACCCAAGCAGCAAGTCCCCCCCCCCTCTCCACGGCGCTGAAAGTCTCCAATGGAAAGGCAAAGGAAACATAGATAAGCATATTACAAACCACATCATCAAATTTGCAGATGACACAAAGATTTATAGTAAAGTGAGAAATGATAATGATACCTTGAAGCCTTGAGATCTACATGAACTCCGCAAATGGTCAGAAGACTAGCAAATGCTTTTAATATCGAGAAATGCTAGACCACGCACGTGGGGCATAACAACCCAAGCCACGACTACCAAATTAATAACATTATATTACAGTAGATAGATGAAGAAAAGGACCTTGGAGTCAAAATCCACCATTCATTAAAAGTTGCACAACAGGTGGGTGCAGCAGTCAGAAAAGCTAACCAAACTCTTGGGATAATAAAGTGTACTTTTGACTATAAGGTGTAGTGGTTAAGACACGTCTCGCCTGGCGTTTCGCGAGCGCTTTGTCCTGGGTTCGTATCCTGGCAGGGGTGGATTTACTGGGCGCCAATCGTTAACTGTATCCTCTGTTTAACTCAAGAGTAAAATGGGTACCTGGTTGTTAAGCGATTTTTCACGGGGTCGTATTCCAGGGAACATATAGGATTACGGACTTGCCTTAAACACTACGCGTACTAGTGGCTGTATAAGAATGTATGAACTCTTGTATATATAAATAAAAAAATAAGGAAAAGAAGGTAATGGTTCAACTGTATAAATCTCTGGTGCGCCCCTATTTGGATTACTGTATCCAAGCATGGAGACCTCATTTTCAGAAGGACATAGTTGCTCTGGAGAAAGTGCAACAACGAGCAACAAAAGTCATTCCAGAGCTAAGTCATCTCACGTATGAGGAACGGTTGAGGGCCACCGGGCTAACAACACTACACACCAGGCATGACAGGGCGGATCTCATTGAAACTTTTAAAATACTGAACAAGTTAGAAGATGTTGATCCGGATATTTTCTTCAGGTGAGATATAACACAAACAAGGAGCAACGATTTCAAGCTCAACAAATCACACTGTAGGGCTGAGAACAGGAGATGCTTTTTCACCCACAGGGTTATAAACCCATGGAACCGCCTACCCGCCGAAGCCGAAACTGACAAAACTGTGTTAAGTTTTTAAAATATTCCTGGAAAAGATCAAGGCACATGGGGAGACACGCAACATGCCGCCGGCTTCCTGTCCTCGTCGAGGCCACTAGGGTTAGTGGTCCTAAGAAATATCGGTATCTATAGCGGACCCCCTTCCCCTGTAATTTTCATTAAGTCTGAAACCTGTGATTTGGTTTCCGTAGAGTTGAACATTTGTTCAGTGTTTCATAAAAATATAGATTAAATGTTCTGAGAGAGAGAGAGAGAGAGAGAGAGGGGGGGTAGAAACGGAAGAAAAGAGGGAATGTTGGAAAATAAGGGAGAGAAAGGACAGACCGAAGATTGGACGAAAGAGACAAGGAGACGAGAGATGTTGGGGGGGAGGGGAAGGTGGAGAGAGAGAGGGAGATTGTAAGAGAAGGAGGAGAGAAGAGCCCCGGGTGCAGTCGGATATCTCCTCTAGTCATATAAAGCTAGTAGTGTTTTATACAATATAATCATCATGATAACGCAGACAACGCCCCATGACTCAGCATTTACAATACCACTCAACCAGGAGGCCTAGCTACTCAAGAGACCGGGCCGCGGGGACGTTGATCCTTGGAACCAAGGCAACGTAGGGCTGGCATGACATTAAGAATAATCACCGACACTCAAAGAGCAGAAACCACTAGTATAAAGAATTACATGTTTGGAACTAAAAACTTTATGTACGGATCATAAAACATCCACAAGTGAGACATTGTAGGTGCCAGAACTAAGCTGGGATATGGACCCGTTAAAGCCCGTAACGAATCCCATAACGGTACGGGAGACATCTCCCGTCACGCAGGGTGCAGTCGCACCTCCACAGATCTCCAGTATCAGTTCTTGATACTGGTAATGGCTCAAAAGGGCCACCACTTACGGGCTATTCATGCCCGTGCCACCTTTTGGGTGGCTTAATCTTCATCAATCACCATAACGGTAAACACTCATATGGGCTCTGCGAACAAGAGCCAACTTGGAAGAGGCCTATAGTCAGAGACCGGGCCGCGGGTCGTTGATCCCCAAAATCTTCCCAAGATAACCGCAAGGTAAGGACTCATCAACACTATATTTGGGATTGCCCTGTTATCCATGATATTAGATCAAATGTCATGATATATTTTGAGCTTTGTAATTACTGTAGTCACTCGCGGATATTAATGGAATATATATTCTCATATCCTATCCAAAGTTTACTAGTGCAGACTGGTCAATTCAATTTCTTTCTTTATTATGCACCCCATACCCATCCCGTGGGCGGCGTTGGAAAGGATTACAGAGGCACATACTCGGTTCAGGAATTGAACCCTCTAGTTCGTTTAGCTAAGCAAATAACAATCTTTTGATGCTAGTTACACAATTATTAATGTTATATATACTCGTACACAAACTCATACATACATGTACATATATATACATATACATATATACATATACAATCACCTACACAAATACATCAATAATATTTTGTGTCACAAGTGATTCAAGACGTGGCTCACAACAGTCACTATACAAGGTACGTTACATCTATGGTGAGTCACAGTTACTAGTCTTGCTGCACACCCACCCAACTGGGAGGCAGCTTTACAGTCATGCATGCATTACCTACAGTAAGCAAATTTTGGATACTTCGCTAAGATTCCGGGCAGCACATCATTATAAATGAAGTACTTACACATTTCTTGGACTCCATTGATGGTGTTATCTCTGAATTTCGAGATTTTTTCACATTCCATTATATAATGACGTAAAGTTGGCGAATAGTTCTGTTGACAGCAGAACATTTAGTCAACAATACTGAGTTTACATTTAGTCAAATCTACATCAGGAGATGTAACAAACTCCCAGAGGTACTTGTAGCCGAGCCTAAGCCTAGCAGTGGTGACATCTAGACGTCTACTAACCTTATTAGATGACCTATAGAAATGCGGTTCCTCCTGCTTATTAGAATGATGATAGACGGAGGAATTGGTGTGAATTTCACTTTGTTTCAAGTCTACGAGATTTTGTTGATGTTCCCGAAATATTACTGCTCTCATGCTGCTCAAAGGCATTCCAAGATGGTAGTCATTTCCCTCTTTATGAGCAAAAGTTTTGGCTAACTCATCAGTTCTAGCATGCATTCGGAGACCAATATGGGAAGGAATAGTGCAAACTAGTAGACTATTTAGTCTACTAGTTTGTAGACTATTTTCACTCATCTCATGTATTAATAACCATCCTGTGAGATGGGGTTATTAGGTAAACTTGTT